GGCGGAAACATAGAGAACAACTAAGGCAATTACTAATAAACTACAAACATTCATTAACTGGTGCCTGCGCAGAATAGAAGGAATTCAATGGTATTATAGAATAACTAATGTAGAGCTTTGGGAGAGAACTAAACAGGCTCCAGTGGACCAAGAGGTGAGGAAAAGACCCTGGCGTTGGATAGGACACACACTGAGAAAACAGGAGAACAGCATTACTAGAATGTCTTCGCATTGGAACCCACAGGGGCATAGGAATAGAGGCAGGCCAAAAAACACATGGAGAAGAGAGCTGAAGAATGAAGTTAGAAAGATGGGGAGGACATAAGGAGAGCTCCATTCAATGGCGAAGGATAGAACGACTTGGCGTGAGTTGGTTGAGGGTCTATGCTCCATTAGGGGATAGAAAGGCAGAAGAGAAGAAGAAGAAGACAACATTAAAACAGTTATGTTTTGGGAGTGTCATGTGTTGTTTGTTCTTGGCGTGTTCATTGTTCACTGCGTCATCATTTCCAGTGTGTGTTACTTTCATTCGCTTGTCTCCATCACTGTTCGCAGGCGGTTTTCTTACTTCGTGACCTCGTTTTTAGCTGTGGATTTCGTTGACCTGTCAGCATTCATGCATCTAAGCCTAACTCTAACCTTAACTCTAACCCTAACCGGCGAGTATGCACACATTGAAACTCTTGCTCCCATTCAGGGCCCTTCCCCGCTGACGGCCTGTTTCAGCGCCCACTCCAAAATATCCCGTTCGAATCCCACTGCCTACGGTCTGCCAAGAGGAAACAGACCTTACCCCTAACAACCCCCCCCCCCCTTTTTTTTCCCTTCCCTACACTAAAGTACCTTCCAGGGAACTCGCTGGGATTTCCCAACCAAATTTCAGAGCCCTGAGATAGGGTGAAAAACCTGAAAAGTACCCATTATTATAAAGTATTAGTTGTTACAAATACCGCGACAACCATGGAACTGTAGGCGAAGCTGCACTGTTATATGAACGATTTTGGATTACCAAAAATAGATAACTGCAGTAAATTCTGATGACTGCTGCTGCAGACTTATGATCACATCACACTGCTGTCCTGACATTAGATAGTCTTCTCAGCCCAGCACACGTAGGAACCCTAATGTCTACACATGCTTTTACGAACGTAGGAACCCTAATATCCACACATGCTTGTATGATATAGTTACTTCTTTTAACCTCTTTTTCTTTTCCATGATTTTGCTGCCCAATATTTTCAGAAACTTGTCTACTATTCAGAGCTTTTTATATTGTCCTCTATATTTTTAATAATAATTTTTATTTGAATTAAATGGATTGGCACACAAACTAATAGTGAAAAAGAAACAAAATAATGACAAATGATCTTACATCTATCGTTAGTGCGGCGACAACATACGGCGAAATGATGGCCATCCTAACAGAAATGGTATTTGAAAGACAAAAGATGGCAGTTGCGTATCTTGGGGCTATATCGTACAGGTTTACCAGATAGCACTGTGAATGATACAATGTTAAGTCTATATTTTAGAATAGCACTGTGAATGATACAATGTTATGTCTATATTTTAGAATAGCATTGTGAATGATACAATGCTATGTCTATATTTTAGACACAGTAGGAAGGAAATGGGAGAGAGGTAGAAAGGATTAAAAAAGAATTTCATGGAATGGAAGAATCTGTGAAATTGTAGAGGAAGAATAAATAAATGCTTAAAGTTCTTCTTTTTCTTTTGCTTCTCCTCCTCCCTCTTCTTCTCCTCCTCCTCCTCCTTCTTCTTCTTCTCCTCCTCCCTCTTCTTCTTCTCCTTCTCCTCCTTCTTCTTCTCCTCCCTCTTCTTCTTCTCCTCCTCCTTCTTCTTCTTCTCCTCCTCCCTCCTCTTCTTCTCCTCCTCCCTCTTCTTCTCCTCCTTCCTCTTCTTCTCCTCCTCCCTCTTCTTCTCCTCCTCCCTCTTCTTGATCACAGACAGTCCAGTTCAGTATTGTAACGTCATGCAGCCTCATACTATATCCAGTATTCTCCCACACACAACAATGTCAACATGCTACCCTACAAGGTGTTCAAGCCCCTTCCATAATCATTCAGTATTCTCCCACACACAACAGTGTCAACAGGCTACCCTACAAGGTGTTCAAGCCCCTTCTATAATCATACAGTTTACTCCCACACACAACAGTGTCAACAGGCTACCCTACAAGGTGTTCAACCCCCTTCCATAATCATACAGTCTACTCCCACACACAACAGTGTCAACAGGCTACCCTACAAGGTGTTCAAGCCCCTTCTATAATCATACAGTCTACTCCCACACACAACAGTGTCAACAGGCTACCCTACAAGGTGTTCAACCCCCTTCCATAATCATACAGTCTACTCCCACACACAACAGTGTCAACAGGCTACCCTACAAGGTGTTCAAGCCCCTTCTATAATCATACAGTCTACTCCCACACACAACAGTGTCAACAGGCTACCCTACAAGGTGTTCAACCCCCTTCCATAATCATACAGTTTACTCCCACACACAACAGTGTCAACAGGCTACCCTACAAGGTGTTCAACCCCCTTCCATAATCGTACAGTTTACTCCCACACACAACAGTGTCAACAGGCTACCCTACAAGGTGTTCAACCCCCTTCCATAATCATACAGTTTACTCCCACACACAACAATGTCAACAGGCTACCCTACAAGGTGTTCAAGCCCCTTCCATAATCATACAGTTTACTCCCACACACAACAGTGTCAACAGGCTACCCTACAAGGTGTTCAACCCCCTTCCATAATCGTACAGTAGACAGTCCTTTGCTACAAATCACACAAAATGTGTAAAAATGACTCCTCCTCCCCCCAATAAGATAATACTGCAATTTGTGGAACAAAAAAGAAATAAAACTATGTACGAATGACAAACTACAAGGGCTTCAAACTAAAACCTTAACAGTGTGATAGAAGTTACAATAATTGTCTTGTAACTGTAAGTATTGTTGTTAATCCTACCAGACCTGAGACCCTGAACCTAACTGCCCCTTAGACCTGAGCTCCAAGGCATTAACGCCAAAAAAAAAATCGACATGATATAAAAAAAAAAAATTAATTACATGGAAATCGGTGGTTAGAATAAGTTGAAACTTGGAGACATTGTAGAAAATAGGATAACCTTTCACTGAGCGCCAATATTCCACCTTTGTGTGCTAATCCACTCAGCATGATTAGCCTTGTTTCACAAAGTGAATCCCAGATGTTGCTGTTTGAGGGACACGCCCCCTTCTCCTGATATCGATCTATTTCTAGATTTATAATTGTCAAGATTCTTATTATTCAAGCTCTCTCACTTCAGCTGTGAACGTATTCTTCATGAAATTGTGACTCGGCAGAGTCTGAATAGACCAAATTATTTATCACCTGTTGGACTGTGAAAAACCTAGACCTACTTCACTTTCCTGTCGAAGTGCTTGGTTCATCAGCCGCTCGTCTTTTTGTGAATTTTCAGAATTTTTTCATGTAAAACAACACAAATTTAATCCAAACACACGAGTGGACATCTAGGAAGACTATCCACGAGGTCTCATGACGACTGGCTAGTTATTTTCGTTTGTCATGTTATTTGTCATTATGACAGTTTAAAATAAACTGTCATGAAAACTGTTATTATTGCCTGTATTCAGCACCTTTTGTGACTTAGGTGGTGGAATTGTTTGAACTGCCTAGCAAGTGAATTCACTGAGAACTGTGCAGATTTAGATTTTATTTTTGCTTTGACAGAAAGAACCCACAAACTTACCAAGGATTTGGTTTTCCACAAAATAAACACCTAGTATTATTTTTATGAGGCAAAAAAAGACAAAAACAAAACAATCATGCACTTGAAATATATTTAATTCACAAATCTTTTTACCAAATTGTTTGCGCATATGAATAATCTGTTAATGACTTTCCTTTTCTTCTACATTTGTGATGAACTTTAAAATCGTAGCTGGTACACTGTGTTGTGATTAGCAACTAGGCTGCAATATCTGTGCCTTTCACCCAAACACATTCAATTTCAGCAAACTCTTAATTAGCAGCTTTTTATGACATGCTTGTTAGGAGGCCCTCCCCTCCCCGCACCCATCAATCAGCAGCTCCTTGACAGAACATCACACTGTTCCCGGCAGACTCGAACCTAAGATCTCTGAGCCAGCTGGCAAACATCCAGGTGCTACAGTACTGCAGCTCACCCCTCCCCATTATAACTGACATAATTTCCTGTGGCATTTTGTATGTTGAAAATTTTAGTTTTGTTCAAAGTGAAATGGCCATTCTGTTATCATACTTCCATTAACTTCATCTGAACCATAAAAATTGTTGTGTTAAAAATATTTCCATGCACTTTGTCACCATTTTTTAAATTAAATCTTTGCAAATAAGTCAACAATAATTTAGTTTGCAGAAAATTTATAAGTTTTTTTTTTAAATTAGAGAATGAGTTAATTTTAAAGTGAAGATTAAAAAAATAAAAATTATGTGAGACAAAATTAAAATGAAATTCTCAATGTATTTTAAAAGTATTTATAAATATGAAATAAGTTGTAACGAGGACAATTGTGCAGTTAAAGATGAATCGAGGATAGGCCCAGCAAACGTAGGGAAAGGTTAACTGTCTACACAGATATAATTTAAAATTTAAGTAAAGGACCTTTTTACCCGCCTTTAGGCATATAGGGCTAGACCTATATTTTTATAGACCAATGGGCACAAGATGGGTGATGTGGTCAGCATCACGCCGATATGCCCAGGGAAAAAAATGAGAGGGAACCACGGTGTACAAGCATGAGCACACAAGCAATGCTTACATCTCTGCCTCAACATTTCACTGAAGTAACTGGATAAAAATGAGATGTTTTGTTAACATTTAAGGACCCTAAATATTTCATTATGACAACTGTAATGGCAAATGATATTTTAATGAATGACAGTAGAAGAAACAAATATAATAAATATAATAACAAGTTTGGTCAACAAACAGAGTCCTTGTATTCATGAAGAAATGCTTTCAGAGTGGCTCTATCCAAGGGTATCATGAGGTGCTCAATGCCTTCATAATTCTGAAAAATAGAAAATTAAAATTTAATTCTGAACAATAAAACCAATTCTGCTTCTTCTGTGTTCACCAGTTGTAAGCTCTGGCACAAAGTGCTGTTTTTTTTTTGTCCATTTGGACTTCGGCTTTTTGCCAGGGCCAGAGTTTTGCGTATACATCCATTTTACTGGGGCAGATGCACTCCGACTTCAAAAAAAAAAAAAAGCTCCCAATTAGTCGACTTTTATGATTTTTTTTTTTTTTAAAGTAGGCAGTGGGTTTTTCCTTTTTTTTGCCTGAAATGGAGTCCCAGAACCCACATGGGGAAAATCAATACACAGTTCCGAACAACTTTAATACACACTTCTGAACAAAAGCACGATTCTGAACAAGAAGAGGTAAATGACCAAAGTCATAGCTGTGTAAATTACTTGTATTAAATTCTGCAACTCTGTGGCTTAGAAAGTCTGGGTTGTTCGCCCACTTCTGGATTCTGACCTTGTTCCAGGACTCACAAGAACAATCATTTTACAGATCTGACTAATTTGTGTACAGACTGTTGGTCTTAACATCACAGCCACAATCACTCTGACTTCTTGACCCCATGTGCACTGGCCTGGCCTCCAGTTGGCAACCTGTTTCTAGGATGACTATAGAGAAGTGTAGATAGGTCTTCATCAGTCTGAATGCTGGTTCTGGTGCCTCCACACATGTGGTCCAGCACCTTCCCATCATGCCCCCAGATTCAGTATGCACACAATTGTGGGAATAGCTACTGTTGTTTCTGTAAGTGACTTTGCTATAAGCACAACTGTTCTCTATCACCAATGTAGATTCTCTAGTCCTCAAGATTCAGTTGTGTTTGATCTAGTTCTTAAACCCCTTCATTTCTCTGTGGATTTTCTCTTGGACTTTTATCTTGTATTTGCTCAGTAAATATTGTTCAACTTTAAATGTATTTATTTATTTTGTCAACAAAGCAAAAAATCTTAACCTGTATTTCCTACTGGTCACAATTAATGGGTGCTTAAGTGGCAACAGAAAACAAACAAAGAAACAGAGATGCACAGATGAGAAATTAAGTGACAGAATAGAAATTACATATAAACAGAAGAACAGAAACAAATACACACACAAAAACAGATAGACAGAAAGAGACAGACAAACAAAACATAATGACAGGGGGGAAAATCTGATCAATAAATGAATAATTATGTGGCAAACAAATAAAGAAACAGAGGTGTGTATGTGTATATGAGTGTGTGTGTGTGAGTGTGTATCTCTTTCTTTCTCGCACACCTTCTTGGAACGTATGAGTCGATGGTCCTTGAACTCCACAAGCTGAGCCTGAAGAGTAAGGTCACTGTTCACCAAGAAAGCCTCGCGACACTTGTGGTAAAGGCTCTGGAATGCCATCCCTGCAAACAGAAGAACTCATTTTTATGGCAATGCTTTAACAAAAGGCAAGTAGTATTTTTCACAAGCCAATATTTACACACAAATATCTTACATCTGTTTCTACTCTCTCTCTCTCTCTCCCTTTCTCTCTGAGAAATAGTTTGTTCATTCCCTCTCTTTCTCCTTCTTTGCATTCACTTGCTGTAAACTCTGGCGGAAAGCTCTGGTTGTTCGTCCATCACTGGACTTTGATCTTGTCCCAGAACCTGAGATACATGCACATCCATTTTACAGATTTGACTTATCTGTATGCAGACTGTTTGTTCCTTGCCTCTCAGGTAGATGCACTCTGACTTCGAAGAAAGCCTCCAATCAGTCGACTCCTACAACATGGTTTTTGGGGAGACAGTGAGTTTATTCTTATTTTCCCCAACAATAGGCCCCTGGAACCCTCACAGGGAGTTCTGTCTCTCTTATCCATCTATGTGAGTCTGTAGTATGTCTGTCTCTGTGTCTGTGTGTACTTCTGAATCTCTGCTGTTTTTGTTTATGTCTGTGTCTTTGAGCAGGCACCTTTCTCCCCTTTGTCTGTATGCAACTATATGCATCTCTGTCACCATTTAAGAGAGAGAGAAAGAGAGAGAGAGAGAGTGTGTGTGCGTGTGTCCGCTTTGTGTGTTTACAAATATATTCATGTCTGTCCCCATATGTATGTGTGTGTCCTATGTGTGGTTGCAAACATATGTATGTCTGTCACCATATCAGTGGTTGTGTCTGTTTGTGTGTGTGTGCACGTGCATGTATGTCTCTCCTTTGTGTGTATATGTGAGCCATGGTTTTATTGTGTTTGCATTTTATAAAGCCTTCCATACTTGTGTTCCTGTATATCTATGCATTTGTTTGCTTCTGTCACATGTAGATGTGCACATCTCTCCACTCTGCCAATATGCAGATGTGTGTATGTGTTTCTTCTCTCTCTTTCTGTTTCACAGTAAATTTATAAGTGTATGTGTATTTCATAAACACTGGAGAGAAGACCAAACACTTTAGTCAAAAGTAGTGTACTCAGGGGTCAAAATTTTGAAACTAAGGATCGTCTCAGGCCAGAGGCCAAACCCCAACATAGAAAGATCATTAATACAATAAAACTGGCAATGATCAGTCACTGTAAACTCAGAATCGGTCAATGTAAACTCAGAATCAGTCACTGTAAACTCAGAATCGGTCACCGTAAACTCGGAATGTGTTATCACAAACTCAGAATGGGTCACCGTAAACTCAGAATGGGTCACAGTAAACTCAGTAAACTCAAAATGTGTCACCGTATACTCAGAATGGGTCACCGTTAACTCATAATCGGTCGCAATATACTCAGAATCGGTCTCAGCCAGAAGCCGAACCCCAACATAGAAAGATCATTAATACAATACAACTAGCAATGATCCGGTGGCCACATTGATCACTGTAAACTCAGAATCGGTTACTGTAAACTCAGAATTGGTCACCGTAAACTCAGAATCGTTCACAGTAAACTCAGAATGGCTCACTGTAAACTCAGAATCGATCACTGTAAACTCAGAATCAGTCACTGTAAGCTCAGAATCGGTCACTGTAAACTCAGAGCTCACCTATATAAATTAAGTCTCTTTGACTCTGTAAATGTGGTTATGAGCATACACTCCAGAGGTCAGAGCAATATTTTTTTTTTACTGCCCAAACATTGCTAGTCAAAGAGACTAAATCTGGCCCACAACAAACAGCATGGGTAAAGACTCCAAGAATACCATTCTATGTGTGACTGATGTTAGAATAGAATAGACACATAGCATAATATGTTGACCAATAGAGAAAATGTGTTGGAATAAACGCACAGCAATTGTTGGTAGGGTTGGGCTTAAGGTTGGCTACCTTATCCTGTAAAAACCATAGCCACAAAAACCAACCAACCAGGGATAAGTTAAACAGAGAAGCAAGTAAATCCTAGCCAACCAAGATGAGGGGAGGCTCTTTAAATAGAAGAAGTATGACACGGTGTATTAAATGATATGATAGAATAACTAATGTAGAGCTTTGGGAGAGAACTAAACAGGCTCCAGTGGACCAAGAGGTGAGGAAAAGATGCTGGCGTTGGATAGGACACACACTAAGAAAACAGGAGAATAGCATAACTAGAATGTCTTTGCATTGGAACCCACAGGGGCATAGGAATAAAGGAAGGCCAAAAAACACATGGAGAAGAGAGCTGGAGAATGAAGTTAGAAAGATGGGGACATGGGGAGAGCTCCATGCAATGGCGAAAAATAGAATGACTTGGCGTGAGTTGGTTGAGGGCCTATGCTCCATTGGGGGATAGAAAGGCAGAAGAATTGTTGATTAATAAAGAAAAAGTGTTTAAATAGACGCACAGCAATTGTTGATCAATGAAGAAAGTGCTGGGATAGATGCAAAGCAAATGTTGATCAATAAAGAAAAAGTGTTTAAATAGACGCACAGCAATTGTTGATCAATGAAGAAAGTGCTGGGATAGATGCAAAGCAAATGTTGATCAATAAAGAAAAAGTGCTGGAATGGACGCATAGCAAATGCTGACCACTAAAGATAAAAATTGTATTGCAAAAAGCTTTCCTTACCCGTGTAATGCGGACTATCTCCTTCTTCCATCTGATACCTGGCAAGCATCAGGAAGACCTGTCGTGCATTTGGTGTCAAGCTCCGCATCACATGAACAGTGGAGCTTAATGCGAGAGTTCCTGACTGCTGAACCATCAGGGAGTTTTCGTACCCATTCTCAGCCTCGTATGGGAGATATGTTGGGGTCTCGTACCACAGCCAGCGGAAACGGAAATACCTGTTCTGATCCCACACTGCAATAGATATTACACATCAGGTTACTGTGTCCCAGAGCAGCCCTGTAGCTAAAGGTTAGTGAATTTGTTTCATAATGCAATCAACATTTACCACAGTTCGATCCCCACAGTGGGGTCTGAGAAATGACAATCGTTCTCACAGCTCTCAGATAGTAGTACAAGAGTCAAATCGTGGAAGATACTGGGGCCTCAGCACCTAATATTTCCATATTTTATCATCATCAAGCAGCAGATTCCTCACAGAACGTCGCTCTCGTCACAGCACACCTGAAAGTCTCTCATTCTCTATTTAATTCTCCAGCCTCATGTGCTTACATACCTAATGCCTCTTCAATGTCTCGTATCCATTTTTGTGATAAATAAATCGACAGGTACTGACTGTCCAAAGGTTAAAAATGCAGTATGAGGATGAGAAGGAAAGAAAACAAAGGAGAAGGGTGGAACGGAGGTGGGCAGCGAGGAAAAAAGACTGTCATCTCGAGTGTGTGACTGTTACAATGTTTTGTAGGGGTTAGCAACTGAACTGAGGAGAAATGAAAAAGAGAAACAGTTAGATAAGGTATACGGAGAAGAGAGAGGTAAAAGAGAATACATATATGACACAAGTACTGAAATGAGAGAAGGGGTGGCGGAAAATGGGAAGAAGTAAAGAAAATAAAGAAAAAGGGGTATACATTTTTAAAAAATAGTGACAAATGGAAATAAGAGAAGCAGAAAAAAGGAAAGAAAAATCAGGAAGAAGAAGAGCTAGGGACTATGGAAAGATGTATGACAGAAAGTGTAGCAGAGGTATGAAGAAAGAAGAGAAACAAGTATTAAAGGGAAGATGAGGTTGGGGCTATGGGAAGAAGACGTGGGGAAAACAGGAAAGAAAGGGAAGAAAACAGGAAAGTAAGAAAAGAAACAGGGAGGGAAGGGAAGACAAGGTAGTGACCATGTAAAGAAGATGAATGAAAGAAATAGTAGAAAAGGTAGGGGGGGGGAGGGGGGGAAACTGAGATAAAACATAAAACAGTAAGAGGATACTTACTGAGTACAGCATTGATGTGGTCAACAGAAGCAACAATGTGGAATCCTTCAATTTCGGACAGAAGACTGAGAACCGCTTGAGATTTATCCGAACGCAGCAACACCCCATCAATGTTGTGAATGACCAGGTAGAAATCCTCATCTGAAACCACAGGGCAGCTTTAAAATTCCTGAACAACTTTAGTATTTATAGAAACATAAAACAGGTGTGTAAAAATTGGGTGTTGATATACCCTGTGGGTTCTGCAGCCTCATCATTTTGGAGGGAAAAGAATAAACTCACTATTCCTTAAAGCACGTTGCAAGTGGTGACTAATGAAGGAAATTACATGTGTTGGGCCATATGATGCAGATATCACAGTCTAGCTGTAAACCGCAAAATAACACAGGAGAAGAAGTTGTGTAAATATAAAAGATATCTTTCAGTACCGTACATGCTTGGTGATTCACAGCTGGTTTCTTCTCAGGATATGTCTAATATAGCACAATTTTCTTTGATAACTGTTTGTTCCCAGCCGTTGCCCAAACATTTTTATTTCTTGTTCACCACTCTTGAATTTATACCATTTTATGTTCAACATTTTTCTCAGGCATTTTTGTCAAATGCATTTAACTTTCACTCTGTCTTTAACTCTTTGAGTCCCAGGGGGTTTAGCATCACAGGCCCAAGGGGTAGTCAAGAGAGACGTAAAATCGGCGCATCATGCGTTCATTGGGCCTCCAGGTAGGAATCTATGAACGTATGATGCGTTCTTTGGGACTCCAAGAGTTAATAGTTCTTCAACTTTCACTGGTATATGTTAAAACTCAAAACTAGAATTTTTTTAAATATATTAGAATTGAAAATATGTAACTTGGTCAACCATACAATTTAGAGTTCGATAATTTATTCATCTATGCAGAGATGGCACCTGATTGACTGAAATACAAAAGTATCGCTCCTGGAATAAGGAAAACAAAGCAATGATCATGGCAGGTTCACTCTGTCAGTACTTGTATACCTCGATTCTTGTAGGAATCCCGGATAAACTCCACTTGGCTGTAGATGCTGGAAAACCCCTTAGAATGTCCCAAGATTTCTTCTGTGATGGAGTTCAGAACCTGTAAAAGTGGGAAAAACCCAAAAGATAGTGTAAAAAATCCCAAGCATACAAGGCTTTTTTTTTTTTTCTCTTGCGGTGCAACGGTACACATTAACAGAACGTTTTCTTTAGGTGTTATTTTTAAGCGCTATTGTAGTAGACTTTTTGTGGTAAGTAATAGCACTTTTGTGTGTGTATGTGTGTGTGTGTTTAGAGAAAAGCCCCTCAAGCATATATAATTATTTCTAATTTTAGCGCAGCTGAGACAATGGCATCCATGCTAATATTATGTAATTATTTCTTTAAAGTTAAGATAAGTTATGAAGAGACAGGATAACAAACTGACTTGCTGACAGAAATTAAAATAGACTAGTGAAATATTTCAGTCACATTAAAAGACAACACATACAAAACCTATAATGACGGAGAATGTTTAAGGGAGGCCAGCAAGAGGTAGACAGTGATTCAAGTGGAAGAATAACAAAGAATGGATGACCAGCAATTTAAGAGAGTGCACAACCAGGGCGAATGAAAGCATGATGGACATCCATTGCAAATCTATTGTAGAAACAACAGATGATCGATAACAAACTTATATTTTCTATTAAACTTTTACAAAAGGGTCTAAAAAAAAAAAAAAAAGTAAAGGTAAAGTTGGGAGATGTGAACCAGCGTCACCGTGCACGGTTATAAACCGTAAGTGCTCTGCCACCAGTATGGACAGCTGATATGAAACTGTCCGCCTGTGTCGCCGTCCGCACGCAACTCCGTAGCTACAGCAACGTTCCTTCATTTACCCAAACTCTGGTACCCATTACCTAGAGACTGGATGAATCCCTGGGAACCACCCAGTTTCGAACACTAGCAGTGGGCTGCAGCGAGTCGCAGCTGGATTTGAAAGCGAGTCTCCTACTGACTGCTGATGCAGCACCCTTCCCCAAAAAAAAACTATAATTAACACTGATGAGAAAAGCCATGTGTGTTCGACTGGATTCCATTGACGATATACCAAAGATTACACAGGATAGTGTGAAACACAAGGAATAATCTATGAGCCTCAGTGGTTTATAAATAATACAACAGGATGATGATGATGAAACATACCAAAATGAAGACTGTCTCCAGAAACTTACGTGTTTAACTGTCAAGCTGGGGAAATAACCGTTAATCACAAGATGTGAAAATTTCCCCAGGTGCTCCTCTCTGAACTTCTCTAGCAATGTTCTTTTGGAGCCTAGACCATGGAGCAGAATATTGTAGCCACAGCTGGGGAAGATGGTTATTGTGTACAGAACCAATAAGTTATGTGACTGTTTACTATATTTCAATCATCTTGGTCTTCCTTAGTGATATAGTGCATGTAATTAAGGAATATATTAGAAAGAGCATTGTAAAGTAGTCTTAAAATCTTGGACAGAAAGGAAAGGTTACAAGAATAATAACTATTGTCTTCTTCATACTCCGTGTGGGTTCCTGGGCTCCATTATGGGCGCAACAAGAATCGACCAACTGCTTCCATTTCCTGGATGTTAGTGTCAGGCTGCAAAAGTTTGCAAGACATGTATTGTGTTCTCGCTGAACACTGTCAACATTCTCCTCTTAAAAACAACACTACTGCAACTCTTGGAAACAGGATGGGTAGTCAGACAGTGACACAGACAGGAGGGAAAGACAGACAAGATCACAAGAAGATGGACAGACACAGACAGACAGAGGAGAAAACAGGAATATGGAGAGGTAGACATATGATCACATGAAGGCAGATAGACAGACAGGAGAAGACCAGGATAGACAGACAAGAGGCAAAAACTATCCAAGGAACAATAACCTCATACAGACTTAAACACTCACCACAGATTTAGCATCCATCTTTTGAACAATCGAACATGCGTGTTCATAAGTTTGTCCATCTCTTTGCGATGACCTGATACCACCTGTTTTAAAACTTCCCGAATTGTATCCACATCCAGTCTGGGACCATCCAAAGCGGATAGTGTTCGGTCAGAGGTCAACGGAGCCATAGAGTGAAGGTCAAAGTATGTTTCAGCTGTAGCCATCTTTGAAACATAATTGTTGTATAGTATAAACATAGTTGTTGTATAGTATCAATATATTGCTGAAAAGTATAAATAAAATTGTTGTACAGTATTTTAAAAAAAAACTGTTGTACAGTATAAATATAATTGTTGTATAGTATAAAAATAACCGTTGTACAGTATATAAAGAATTGTTATACTGCATAAACATAATCTTGTAGTCTCATCTCATACTGTGTGGTATACTGTCTGCTGACATCCACGTAATATGGCCAAACCATTTCACCTGCTGTCTTCTAATGAAATCCAAAGCTCCTGCTATCCCTATTTTCCTGCAGATTTCATTATTTCTGATCTTATCTCTTTTTGTTATGCTGAGAGTCCATGGCAAGAATCTTATTTCAGCTGTAGTTATTTTCTTTTCTCTTTTTCTGTCACTGTCCAGGTCTGGCACAGACTCTTCTGATTTCTACAGAAACATGTTTGTTTCATAGTTCTTCTTCTTCTTCTTTTTCACTTCCTCTTTTACCGCTGTGGGTGTCGAGGGAGATATAAGGTTCTGTTTCTAGCTCTTCTGGCTGCCTCGACCATAGGCACATCGTGCTGTTGTAGAGTTTCTCTGATGTTATCCTTCCATCTTGTTCTTGGTCTACCCCGTGCTCTACGTCCTTCTTCTCTTCCCATGTATGCTTTGTTGTTTCATAGTAGTGGTATTATTTGCCCAATGAGTTGGTTTGCTTTGTTAGATCTGTCATCAATCTCATCTTCTGTTGATGTTATGCTTCCTAAGTATTTAATTTCTTAATTTGTTTCAGAAGGTGTTCTGTAGGCTGGATATTTACTGTTTGTAGAATGGGTAGTCAAGTTCAGGGTCAGCCTGCACGATAATGTAAAGATGTGTGCAAGTGCTAAATTGATGATATAGATATTGAGGTGGATTTGTGGGAACAGGATGCCATGGAATACTGCATAGAGGGGAAAATAGAGGGGGTAAGGAAATTAGGACAAAGGAGACCAAGATTTTGTTGAAGAAAGAGTTGGTAGAATGAATATTTTAAGGCTGGTTCATGGAATGGTTAGTTAAACAAAGTGTTGTCTGAGGAAAGATAAAGCAGCACTGTGGCTAGAAGGTTAACGAAAGCATTTAACAATTTCATAATCCTTGAGTACTGGGGTTTGTTCCTCGCAGTGGACAGTTTAAACAATCCTTGTGGTTTTTGGAGAGCGGTATGAGAGTCGCACCATGTAAGAGACTGTGGCGCACCAACTAATATTCTTAAAGATAACACCTTCATTAAGGAGGTGGCACAGAAATTCAATTTCAAATCGGGGAGTGTCGGTGGGTTCTAGGCACCACTCACGACTCATTAGAGGCAAGACGAACAGTTACCCAGATAACTACGGGTACCACCGCTATGGAGACTCTTGGCTGGCTGTTGAGGGGGGGGGGGGAGACAGAGCTATCAAGGGCTTGTCCTAAGTGCTGTGATGTTAAATCTTAAATCTACTTCTTCTTCGCGTTCACCAGCTGTAAACTCTGGCGGAAAAGTTCTGGTTGTTCATCCACTTCTGGACTGCAGTTCTATTCCAGAACCTGAGTGTTGCGTGTGCATCCGTTTAATAGATCTGACTCATTTGTATGCAGACTGCTGGTTCCTTGCCTCTCAGGTAGATGCACTCCAACTGAAGAAAGCTCCCAATTAGTCGACTCTTACTACATGCTTTTGGGTAGGCAATGGATCTATTCTTGTTTTCCCTATAATAGGACCCGGGAACCCACACAGCAATTTACTTAGATAAACCCAGATGAGTAAAGAATTAGCTGAATGAACCAAAAATCAGTAAGGTGTCAGTTTGCGTCATACACCTACAAGTACAAACAAGAAACATGAAAATCTGTTAGTGAAGAAGTAAACATACATCATACCATATTTATGTCTGAAGTTCTAGCTGGTCTGTTTTGTGAGTTCTGCTGACTTGTGTCCTCATCTTCATCTTCCTCTTTTTCATCAGAGGAATCACTGATGCTATCATCTGAAGATGAGGCTAGTGAGGAAACAGACCAAAAGCTTCTGGAAGAATGTATGGTGAAGAAGGCGAAGGAGGGAAGTATATAATACATGGGGGACAGGAGATCAAATGTAGACTGGGCGGGCTTTATTTGATGACAAACTGAACAGATAAGTCACACACAAAAACGAAAAAGACGAGATTTCTTAAAATATATTCACGGTGACGTCTGAGACTGTATGACGAAGTAGGTGGAAGAGATGCACAATTCTTAGTACTTGGCTGTGGTACAAACAGAATTAGACAACATCTGGCGTTTAAGTACGAACAAACTCATACAAACACGGGCAGGATCCATTAATAACTCAGGGTAATTATTGACCCTTGTGGATCCGGTAAAAAACAATCAGCTTCTCTAACGTATCACGATAAGGAAGTGGGGCTAGAATTGGCAGAGCCAGAACCTACTGGCTCAGGTACCTCGAGGATTTCCCCCCCCCCCCCCCCCCCACAATTTTTCAGGGAGTGGTTCTGATGTCTCCCTGGCTGCAACCTCCCTGCCCCCCATCCACTAACACACACACTCACTTGCTTATACATTTAGTTTTATGTCAAATGTATTGTTTACACCATTTTTTATTATAACTTCGCATTTAAACAAGGTTTAAGCTCCACCGCTAAAAATATTAAAAGGTCACTGAGGGCCCTCATCCCTAAAAGGTCACTGAGGCTCCCCCCCCCCCCCAAAGATGTGTGTGTTGTAGCGCTCCTAGTTTGAATATGCAGTGACAGCAGAAAGGTCAGAGGAAGACACGGAGAGAGGACTGGAAAGTCTAATATCCTGGAATATCGGTATATCGAAATCTCAGAAATTACTGGCAGCAGATGAAGACAGGAGGGCGGCAGATGAAGACAGGAGGGCGGCAGACGAAGACAGGAGGGTGGCAGACGAAGACAGGAGGGCGGCAGACGGAGACAGGAGGGTGGCAAACGTCGCTGTGGTCTACCGGAAGATGTTTCGAACCAGAGGGAATTACTAGAAGTCCAAGTCCACGCGAAAAAATCTCAGCCCTTACCGGGGATTGAACCCGGAACCTCTAGAACTCGAGGCGGACATCATGCATCGAGGCCATACAGCCCCTTACTCATGCCTCTAACGAGAAGGTCCAGACAAAAAGACAAAACGTCGATCAGAGAAGTGAAATGCGCTGGAAAAAGTAACAATTAGAAATCGGACACAGATAAAGTACCATGGATTCCACCCATAAAACTGAAACAACTGCAAGGGATCCAACGGAATGGAAGAATAAAAGGCGAGTACTTTGTGTCAGAAGGCACAACAGGGTGATATAGGTGTTTACTGACTTGGCAGTGGAGTTAGATGTCATCATCATGTTGCAGATCTTTTAAAGAACATCGTTCCCATCACAGTTCGCCCAATAGAGTTCTAGACCCTCACCAGCTCTCCCGCCTCGTGTACTTTCCTGCCCACTGCTTTTTTTTATGGTCTATGTCTATCTTCGCACTAGTCAGACCCTGCACCTCTAACTCGGTACCGTGAACTCCGCAATTGTTCTTTCCATCCACCGCGGCGTCTGATCTGGAATCAGCTTCCGAGACAAGACGCTGATTACGTGCCAATCAATGTTCAGATAATTTAAGATGTTAATTATCTTTGTCTTCTTCTTCTTAATCAATGGAATTCTAAGAATCTTTCTATAGTATTTCAGCTCAAAAGCCCACATGTTCTATAATGACTGCGATATAAAGTCCATAGTGGATTTCAAAATCATATTTAGTGATTTGTTTCGGAAACATTTTCTGTACGGATCGAGTGTAAACAAACATGGCCGCCGTACTTCTGCTTCTTTTGGGAAATGGGAAGCGTTCACCTTCGGGAGACGTTGCAGCTAGCACATTTTTTACATGACACAACAGTAGGGCTTTGCGCAAACAACAGTTAGTCTTTATCGAGGTTTTATCTTCACTGCAATCGGGTTTACCCATACTTGCTCCGTTCCTGTGCCAGTGAAAATTAAATGAAATATTCTTCACTGTAAAACTGTGACAACAGAGATGAAATGCCTTAGAAGTTAGAAGAGCTGCAGGAGTTTCAAGGAAAGACAGAATACAAAATCATGAAATCAGACGAATGCTAGGAATAAAGCCAGTCTTACAGGTCATCAAAGAACAACAAATAAAGTGGTTTGGACACCTAACAAGAATGCTCTGGTACTATCTGCCACACTAAAACATTACAACGGGTATAGAGGGAGTGGAAGACCTCGGAAAATATGGAGTGATGGCATAAGAAAAGCCTTACAGAAATGAACATCAGTCTTAATAGTTCTCTTGACAGAGCTCATCAAAGAACATTACATCTTCCCCCCCCCCCTCCCCGGACACTTCGATGAGGTACAAGGTGGAAGGGAAGAAGATCACTCACTGTTCCTTTTAAAAAAACTAGTTAACAAACAATTATTCCCGGCAAAAAGCAGTTACATTCCCTTACTGATTTTGCACACACTGAATTTTCTTTTAGCATAAATGTTGAACCCTGATACTAAAAATAAAAAAAAAATAAAAAACAAGGCTATCTTCCGAATAACGGTCCCAAATTATCGAGGCTGTAAATATACCCTAACAGGGCCTCAGTCACATGTAAATCGCGAACTTCTGGCGACTTGAATTCCACACTAACGGCGACTACTGCCACCGCTGAGAGTATCTCCCACACCACTACGCGCGGTGTGGATTGGGGCTAAACTAGATAGCTGGGACTCACAAGCAACAGCTACCGTATCTCCTGCAGCTTCCTTAATTTTATTTGCTTGTGAGTCGCAGCCATCTAGTTAAGCCCCCAATCCACGAAGCGCGTAGCGGCATGGGAGATACTTTCAGCGGTGGCAGAAGTCCACAATTGACTCGTGACTGAGGCCCTGTTGGGGTATATTTTCAGCCTCGATTTGGGACCGTTATTTTGAGGATAGCCCAAAAAAATATACTCTAGCCAAACTGCTCTTTTAAAGATTGATTGTTTATCCTAAAACAGATTACTAAGTTGGGCTCTCCTTCGAACTTCATCCCCATATTATGGCGGCCAAACAAATACCCTAAGAGGGCCTTAGTCGTGTGTAAAATGCGGAGTGCCTGCCTAGGAACAAATCGCGGCAAAATTAGGATCCCCTCGAATAACGGGCCAATATTATCGAGGGCACAAAAATGCTCTAACAGGGTCTCAGCGATATGTTATTTGTGGACCTGTTTCTGCGATTATGCCACATCGTCAACAGTATGTCGGATGTGGGGCTAAACTAGATGGCTGAGACTCACAAGAAAAAATAAACTGGAGGAAGTTGCAGGAGATGCTGCAGCTTGTGAGAGCTGGCCATCTAGTTTAGCCCACCCATCCGCGCCGCACGAAGCGGGGATCCGCTCGGCGGTGAGGCATAGTCACTAGGCGGTGAGTCAGTCACAGAAACAGGTCCGCAATTAACATATCGCTGAGACCCTGTTAGAGCATTTGTTTTGTTATTCGGAGCTGATCCTAGTTTTGCCGCGCTTTGTTTCTCGGCAGGAAGTCCGACAAGTCCGCATTTTTCATAGGGCTGAGGCCCTGTTAGGGAATTTGTTTGGCCAGGGTAGAAGTTCGGAGGAGAGCCAGTGTCTTTACTTTTTTTGTGGTGGTTTAAATTGTATTATTTGGACTTTAAAAAATAGTTGTGTACCACATGCTGAAGACTCCCCCCAAAAAAATGAGAAAAGCGTGGAAACATTATTAAAATAGAAATAATATTTTAAAAATGAGAACTTTAAAATCATGTTTTAAGCTCTCTCAGTTAACAGTGACTGCCATTCCCCACCCCACCCTCCCAAATCCTCTCTCCCTCACAGAAGAAATGCTCACATCTTAAAATTTCCATACTCTGTCAACAAATCTTCGACCAGCTTTATGCAGATTTCTGAGGTTAAAAGTCGCCTATCCGCACAAATAACAACTTGCGCAATGAACGCGGCAAAAAATTTATTAAATTGGGTCATCGGAAAACAAAAATAAGATACCGATCTGATCGCCACTGGAGATGTGTAGGTCATGCCTTGTGCGACACTCTTATATAAAAACGTGCCTATTTGCAATGTTGTGTGAAATTTTTAAAGCAATCGAAAATTTCAAAGCAACTGATACAGATCATGGGGGAAAAGGCATGTATTGGCAGCCCTGATCAGCAGTCAAAGCTGTGGTACTAAAAAACAATTCCGGGTCGGCAATGAAAAAACTGTGTGATTGTTGCTGTAGCTATGTAGTTCATGGATTGTGCGACACTAATATATAAAAACCTGCGGGTGGTCGAATGCAACGTTGTGTGAAAATTTGAAAGCATTTGGTGAAGAACTTTCAGAGACTGGCTATTACAACCAGCGGAACTTGACATTTGTATTAATATAGATACAAAGGGAGTAATCATGAATAAGGTGAAGAAAGGAAAACACCCCCCCCCCCCCCTCCCACCAGGGCTTTAAAAAAATGTATCAGATGACTCAGGTCATGACCCATTGACCTCTATCACTGAGACTCACAGAAAAATTTGACATCAACCTGGCTTTAACAAAGCTATTTGGCTCAAAGAACCCCCACCCCCTTAATTTTTTGGTTAATATATTCCCATCCTCATTTCCTTAATATTTACCCAGGCGCAAAAACAAAACAGCCAACAGCTTTAACAATTTGTTTTGTAAACAAGTCACTGCAGACAAACTGGAAAAGTGACGTTTATGGGGAACTGAAGTGAACTGGAAATACATGTATCGGGTTTGTGGCTTCTCAAGAAGGAAAGATAAAAAAAATTGGTGGGGGTGGGGGGGTTGAAAGATTAACTATAATTGTTACTGATTCTTCTGATCAGTTGGGTTATCATTTGAATAACTTCAGGCACAACATTTATTATTCTGAAGTAACAACTATTTCACATTGAGAGAGTTAAAGTAACTACCTCCTGGTACTGAAAGAGGAAACTGTGGTTGCAGAGCGGCTAAAA